GATTGCAGATATGAAAGAGTATTTTTGATAATAGGAATTATTGAGAAATAATAATCAAGGCTCGACTCTTACTACAAATCCAATCCATTTCCGAAAAGCATATATACTCTCATTTATACTTAAATATAAATATATATATATATATTTTTTTTCTCTATATCTAAATACTTCTGTTTATATTAAAAATTTTATATATCTAAATATTTTCTCAGTATCGAATATACTGATTTTTTATATAAAAAATTATCATATGTTTCTATATTTCCATTTTTACATGTTTTTTATAATGACCAATGTATTTGATCCTTCATCTTCAACATTACTTATTAATGAAGATCATACTTTTGAGTTTATTATTCAAACTCATGAACAAGAACGATAAGACGTTAATGCTTGAAGGACTAGTATACCTATGAATATATGGGTGAATATTATTTTAGAGGATATGATATTATAAAGAATAATAATAATTATTATTATTATTTATTTAAACATTGTTGTTTTTTAATATTTTTGTCTTTGACTCTTTTTAAATTTGAATTTATGAATTTTTTTTGAAATTTTATCATATGTCAAAAAATCACGAAAATTCTACAAAATTCACAAAGTTCCGTAAAATTCATTAAAATCTTAATTTAAAAGTCTTACAGAATCCATTAATATTCTGATTTAAAATCTTGCAAAATCCTTCAAAGTCTTAAAAGTCATGAAAATCCTGCAAATTTTTTTAAAATCTGCGAGATTTTTTTTAACTAAAAAAGTCCTTTAAAATCTTAATTCAATACACCCCCTTAATTATTTGTCATTTATTTAGTGATCCTTTAACATGTCACATGTTATCACCTGAGACATTAAAATCTTACAACCGAGACATCTCATTTGATTCATACATTGAAAATTCTTCGCAACAAACAGTTTGGGATCCATACATTTCCTTGTTATGATGACTGCATTATCACACCTCTTTCCTATCACAAACGCCCTTTATTTGGTAGACTTAACACTTTTTCGGATTTTAAGTTTATAAACTTAAGTCCGAAAAAACATCATTTTGCAAAAGCACTCAACTCTTCATGTCCTATATTTTAAACCAAATTTCAAGGCAAAATGGAGGCATTAAACTCAGTTTATCTTAGAACCCAAGTGAAGACTAATCAAAAAAACCTTTTCTATTTTACTTTATAAACGTACGTTGGGGGCCTCATATATTATATAAAAGATCCATATTGAGCTGCAAATATTGAACGAAGCAAATGATCTTAGTCATCACAATCAAAGACAACTATACATATTACAACTTCATAATTAAGTTAAGGTAGACATTACAAGTAACATCAAGCAGCACAAAGGTCCAAGTACAATGGGAGGAATCATATTCCCATAAGGAACACCAAAACACACATTTTATTTCTGTTATATTGATTATGCATGAAGCAAACGCTAAGGAAGTAGATTGTATATAGTATATTAGACCCCCTTTATTGCTCACCACCTCATGTTTCTGTCATAGGGACTCATGTAGCAAGTATCCCCACCCCAGGTTTGATGCTGATATCTCATTTCTTCCACCTTACTCGCGGCAGCACTAACATGCTCCTCTGCATAAGCCTCCTCATACTCACTTTCCTCTGAGAAATACTCATTGTGTCCACCAGAACCGAACTTACGACCACCACCACCATTTAAAGCATGATAGGAGCCGTTATTACCACCAAAAGGGGACTTTCTGCCACCCCTACGAACATTAACATAACCATGGTCATTGTGCATGTCTTCTTCAGACATGCCGTGCCTTCCTCCAAACCTGCCATGCTGTTTTGACATGGAGTTATCAGAGTCCATAACAGAACCATATTTGTTCATGTGCTTGTTTCCTAACTTTCCATGATGCTTTGACCTGGAGAGCTCAGAGTCCATGCCAAAACCCCCATGCCTGTTCATGCATGATAGGTCCAACCATAAGTAAGACTTAAAACAAAATTCACGAGAATTTTCTTCCTTTAAATAAAAAATATATATGTTGATTTTTTCGCTAACACATGAAGTCTTTTTGTTATATATATATATATATATATGTATGTATGTAGTTTTTTAACTTTATAAAAACTAATAACAAACATTTTTTTTTTGTTGATGAACTTGATGCTCAAATTATAGTAGTCTTACCCTAGCATCGATCCTGTCATGCTTCCTAACTTTTCATGTTTTGACATGGCGAGGTCAGAGTCCATATCAAAACCACCAAACCTGTTCGTCTGCATGCCTGCTAATTTGCCACGCTGTTTTGACATGGAGAGGTCAGAGTCCATATCAAAACCATCAAACCTGTTCATCTGCATGCCTGCTAATTTGCCATGCTGTTTTGACATGGAGAGGTCAGAGTCCATGCCAAAACCACCAAGCTTGGTCATGTTCATGCCACCTAACTTGCCACGCTGGTTCTTTGACATAGAGAGTTCAGAGTCCATGCCAAAACCACCAAGCTTGGTCATGTTCATGCCACCTAACTTGCCACGCTGGTTCTTTGACATAGAGAGTTCAGAGTCCATGCCAAAACCACCAAGCTTGGTCATGTTCATGCCACCTAACTTGCCACGCTGGTTCTTTGACATAGAGAGTTCAGAGTCCATGCCAAAACCACCAAGCTGGCTCATGTGCATGCCTGGAAATTGCTTGTGGTAGCCGTTATCAGAGCTCCAAGACTCTTCTTGGTAGGAATAGCCCTCCTGAGCTTGAGCCTCTATCCGCATGCCACCACCAGCATAGAGTTGCTGTTGAAACCCAAGGCTCCTACTCATTTTTTTTGTTGTTGGAAACTTCGAGTTTAGTTTGATATTTATTTCAAATATTGGAGGCCCTTATATAGGCAGTTATCAGTTAGTAATAATACAATGAGATTCTCTCAAATTGACCAAAAAAAAAACCTTGAATTTCTCAATCTCAAGTATTAAGATCTCGTTCTTAAATCTTTTAGTCCTGTATCTTATTATGCAGTAAAAGATGTCATTGGAGAGTATATATTCCATTAGAAATAGGATAGATAACGATGCATCTTTGTATCCAAATTTAATTTGGCCAATTAGAATGGAATTTTGAGGGAAGGAAGGGTTGGTTGGACTTGAGAGTGCGTTAGAAATTATTGGTACAACTTTATTCCAAAACCTACGTGTTCGTATAGGCGTCATGTCTGTCTCATTTCACTTCCTACGTAAGCATGCTATTGTAGCTTATGCATCGTTTCAACTGTTTGACTCGATGCTCCTTCATCTATGTCACTACAAGAAAAGGAAACCCGGCCCATTTGATACAAAACATGTTTTTGAAGTAATATCTCGTGTAATGAACCATCTAAGCCCAAATATTGGATTAGCCCATTATTTCACCACTAGTAATAGAAATATAAAAATATAATTGTGAATCGTGTGGATTATAACTAGGTCAGGAAAATAATTGATCTGTTGCTATATCAGAACAGAATATTATTATCTAGGAGAGGCCATAGGTCTCATCTTAGAAAATTTAGCCAAGCTCTGTTCCCTATATACTACCATCGTCACAATAGCATGTAAACACTTCATTTACATCTTGGTTATGGTTTAATTTTTATTAACATGAGAATCAAAGTACTTTTTACAAGTATCTCATTTTCCATGGCATCTCAGTTGTATTGGAGCACAATCAAATTCAAAAGATCTCAGACCTTGGTGTAATTTTTATTGACTCAAAGGATTTCAGACCTTGGTTTAATATTATTCACTTAAAGGATGTCAGTGAGAAACTAATTTGCATATGACGACTAGACCAAAACACATTATTTGATGATAAGAAGATTATCCAAATGATGTACAAGAAGGAGAAAAAGATGAGAAAAGAGGCTGACATTGACATAGCTCCCCACTAAAAGGAGGATAATGCAATGCAAGCACCATGAGTCACAGTCAATTAATTAAACAAAGCAAATAATCTCAATCATCATAATCAAAGGCAACTTTATATTATAAGTTTATAACATAACAAGTTAAATAAGATATTACAAGTAACATGAAGCACAAGGGTCCAAATCCAAACACACTGGGTGGAATCTTATTCCAACAATAAAACAACAAAGCACACATTTTATTACTGTTGCATAGATAGCTTCAAATGCATAGGAAATAGGTGGTATCATAGTGTGGTATATTAGACCCCCTTTGCTGTCCAGTGGTGGGGTTTGTGGTTCATGTTCCTAATCATTTTCCTCTCATAGGGATTGACATAGCAACTATCCCCACCCTGGTACTCATGACGCTCATATCTCATTTCATCAACCGTAGCATTGCCAGCACCAACATGCTCCTCATAAGCCTCCTCATACTCATTTTCCTCCATGATATACTCATGGTGCCCACCAGAATTGAACTTGCCCCCACCATTTGAAAACTGATGAGAGGCTTTGTTGCCACCAAAAGGAAACTTTTTGCCACCCCCATGACCAAAGCCATGGTTACTGTGCATGCCTTCTTGAAACATGCCACAGTTTCCATTTCCTCCTAACATGCCATGATGTTTTGACTTTGAGTCCACACCAAAAGAACCATGCTTGTTCATCTGCATCATGCTTGGGAATTGGTTTTGGTAATTGTTTTCAGAGCTCCAAGACTCTTCATGAAAGGCATAGTTCTGCTGCTGAGCCTGAGACTCCACCCACATGCCCTCATCAGCACAGTGTTGCTGCTGTTGAAACCCAAAGCCCCTCATGTTTTTGTTGGAAACTTTAACCTTAGTTTGATGTTAAAGATCTAAAGAGATTTCTGGTTTTGTTTCTGTTGTTGGAGATCCTTATATAGGCACCTGTTGATAATATTCTAATCCTGGAAATGGGATAGATAACAATGCACCTTTGCATGGGAATTTAATTTTGCCAATTTTTCAGTGGAATTTTGAACCATGGCAGGGTTGGACTTGGACTCCAGAGTGCGTTACTAAATTATTCATACAACTTTATTCTAAATCCTCTCTGCTTTCTTCCCATTCTTTTTAAATTTCCCCCCTATGATATGGTTCAGACCATGCCTGCAGATCTTTATTCCCTTTTGCCTGTAAATAATTGCTTTCCCTGTTATATAGATACAAGTGATTGTAATTGAAATGAATTTCAGGATAACACATTTACTAATTTCAACCGAGTAGTGAAGTCTGTGATGGACTTGTTAACTAGTGATATAAATAGAATACTTTATTTTATAACTCAGTTTTATAAAATTAAGTTAATTTTAAATTAAACCCTTTTAGCTATGGTTTTTTCTTTTAAGAACTATGAATAAGATCAATAATACAAAAAAAATTGTAGAATTTGAAGGTTAGCAGAGGCAGAGGGAATTTGAAGGTTTTGTTTATCTTTAGCCAAGGACCTTTGCTTTTTCTTTATCTTATATTATGGAACGGCATTCCTTCAGGTCACTTTGATTCGGTTGTAGAATATTTGTTTTGTGGATTCTCCTTCATCAGTTTCAGTGTCACAGACACTAGCAAGAAAAGGAAAACTGGCCCATTTGTTATGCCACTTATTTAATTTGGACAGAGAGATCCTGTTCATTAATGAAATTCTCAAATTCCAGGTTGAAGTAATAAGAAGAAGATTAACTTCAAATTTATTTAATGATATTTATCTCTTTCTATGAAAAATGAATGAGTTATACTTAAGTCTATTTTAATATAAATAAACTTCTTATTATTGTCGAATAATTATAAACATATCCCTGAATGATACTTTATATCTTAGTTTATGTAGTGCAGAATAAATATTTATTTTATGAATTAAAATTTATAGTAAATAAATATTTTAAATATATGAATTATATTTTAAGTTTATAATAAACAATTTAACTTTTGATAGAAGGTTATTGGTAACTGTTGATAATTTTTTAAAATATTAAAATTTAATTTAAAAATATAAATAGAAAGGAAAAATCGACACATTCAGTTTAAAAGAATCAAGTATATAGTTAAAATAAGCACTAGTTGGGTTTTGGGATCGTATGTGTTAAAGGTTATTAAGTATTTGTTTATTAAGATGAATATTAATATTCTGTTGTTATTTATTTGTTATTCATATAAATATTTATGTTAGTATGATATTATTCATTTTGATTTAAGTTTTCATGATCTTATTTTTTATTATTATAAAAAAATTTATTACTAATAGAATATATTATATTTTATAAACTCTTATATTTTTTCTTTCGTTCTTGATGAATAATAAAAAGATAAAATAAAAAAAAAGAGATTAATGAACAAGTTATAGAATTAAATTTATATTTAAAAATTAAATTAAATAATCAAGACATGCCCTGTTGCTTAATTCTTAAAAATGTATTTATTTAGAAAAATATCTGAAAATACTTTTATCTATGAGTATCTCTCTCTTTATTTTTTTTTTTTTAGAGAACAATAAGTAACTCTAAAAAATACTTTCATTCAATACGATGATTCAAATTTATACTACAAGAGAGCTCAGTAACAAATGTCACCTTATTTTTATTTTTAATATTTAAGGAGATATGCTGAAATTTTAAATACTTCTATTATTGACTTTAAAATTTCATTAAAATATTAATTTATTTTTTATGATCACAAAATTAATAACAAACGTTTAAAACTAGTTGTGAATTATATTTAAATGAGAGTCAGAAAAAAGTTTTTAAAAGACTCATGTACGATAATATAAATTGAAATGTAAAGACATTTATCTGTGGATGTGGGTATAAGAGAGTGTATATTTTTAAGTAAAAGGAAAGCAAATATATTAAAAGTATTTATCAGAAAAGGAAAACATAATTTAGTATAATGAAGTGGAGGACAAGAATAATAATAATGATAATAACAATAATATGATACTCCCAAAAAATTCTAAAGCCACCACCATGGATCATTGCTTGGGTGTAGGAATATTAACAAATCTGATTCTTAATTTGCAATGCAAATGGAAAAGCATCACATTCCTTATCATCTATCAACTCTCATAGGGATCCACATAGGACCCCATTCTCTTCAATATAATTCAAGGCCTGCTTTTTATTTATTTATTTATTATTATTATTATTATTATTATTATTATTATTATTTTTATTATTAATCAATATGATTGAGTTAGACTCACTTGATAGACTTGTATTTGTTTAAAGTATCAATCTAATTTTTAAAATGGATTAAATAACTTTTAGTATCATAAAATTTTGTCGACTTATTTGGTTTTATTATTAAAAGATAAATTTAATTTTGACTTTATTAATAAAAATTGACTTTTAACTTTACTAATTACTAATTATCAATTAATTTTTAAAATTTATTCATTAAAATCAAACTAAATACTAAAAGTTTACAATAATTCACCTATTATACTCGATCAACCAAGGTAAACCTATAGATAAATATCAATTAATTTGATCCTTAATATATTGGTATGCTTGAATTAATTTGATCATTAACACTCTGTTTGATAAGCCAGAAATACATTAAAAAAAATGAAAGAAATATATGGGCACGCCTCACTTTTCCAAATAACCCTCTTTTCCCTCGTTTATTTGTTAAATGAAGCATATGAAACATTTTCTTTGTTGGAGATGACATATAATTGGTTATGTATCCAAAACAATTAATTAAATGAAGTATCCACATATTTTCTTGGCTCGAAATGTCATATAATTAATTACTTCCTCTATTTTATAATAAATATCGTTTTAAGTATTTTTATATAAATAAAAAATAATTATTTACTAAAAATTTATTAACTCAAGTAATTAGATGTTTGTATTTCTTAATTAAGGACTGAAGTTTGACTTCCATTTTAAATATAGAATCTAAATTGAAAATATCATTTTATTCTTACAAAAACTAATATGATAAAAAATTATTAAAAAAATATTTATTTTATAAAATTATCTTTCTTAATCTTTTTATTGGAACCATGCAACAATATAACATTTTTCTAGAAAAAGTTATAAGGTCTTAATTTTCTTTATTTTATTTCATCTACATTTTTTTTCCTCTTCCAAATATGAGCGTAAATCAATTTACCTTTTTATCAACTTAGAATTAAATTGATTAACAGTACTTATTTTCTTTTGGGTGTGAAGAAAGGCTAAAGCCTCGATTAGTTTTGACAAATTTATATTTTCCCCCTTCATTTTATTTCTTTGTGTTAAGATCTTGATAAAATTACTTAAAAGAAGTTTCGGCTTGTCCCTCAAAACTTTCCTCGTTTGATTTTTAGTTAGTTAGCTTCTTTGTTTTTTGTTTTTTTTTGTTTTTGTTTTTTTTTTTTATACTTTACCTAATTTTCATTGTAATTGCACTTGTATAAGGCTTTGGAACAATTCTTTTTTACCTTTTTTCTTGAATATTTTCATTTCACCATCAAGGTGTTTTATCTTTCAGTCCTAAATCTTTTTAATGCTTTTAATAAGATTGTTTTAGTAATCTAACTTTCTTAAACATTTGATTACCTTCTTCCGACAATTTCTTTTTAAAAGTCATTAGTACAGATAATTCATTCAAACAAGTTTTATCTTAACTTAAGAGGGTTTAACACAACCCTTTTCTTTTAAATTCGAAAACAACTATGAAACTATAGGAGTAGTTGTACTTTTCTTCATATACCTGAATATTCTTAAAATGAAATTCCAAATATTAAAATGAGTGCGACATTTCAATTTTCGCCCCAACATCGATTATTTGGAATTGGAATGGGCCATAATGGATTTGTATATGGGTTAGGCTTACTACGAAGAGAAAATGGGCCTCTAAGTGTTTTCAATTAACCTGTGTTTTGGTTAGAAGAATGGGCTAAGTGCTAGCCCGCTAAATTCAAGCTCACCAATACATTTTTTTATATGTTAATCACTTGGCTCATGATATATACACCTCTTTTTTTTATAAGTACATTTCTTTTATATATTTTTTTTAAATTATAAGATTTTTTAATTTTTTTAATTTTTTTTTAATTTTACACCTTCAACTTTTAATTTGTTACTTTCTTCTTTTTTTTTACACACTTTTTTTTCTTTTTTAGTTTTTACATGCTACCAAAAAAGGTGGGATGAAAGAAAGGTAAAGAGTGCATGTAAAAATTGAAAAAAAGAAGGAAGATGTATGAAAAAAATTACTAAATTAAATGTAGTAGATGTAAAATTAAAAAAATTAAAAATTAAAAAAATTAAGAATATTTTAAAATTTTAATTATTTTTTTAAAAATAGGAGATGTATTTATAAATAAAAAAAAGGATGTATATATCATGAACCTGATCACTTTTTGTTTTTGATTCCACCCTTTATCTTTTAACTTTACAAGTTTGCATATACTAACTTAAGTCTCAGTCATGGTTGGTGAACTTTTTTCTCATTACTCTAACTATTAAAAAGTAATATCGAATTTTCCTGCAGTTTCGAGGCATGTGATCAATCCTTTTTTAAAATTAAGAAGAATACATTAATTTTAAAATTCATTAAAAAAAATGAAAAAATATCTCTACAACAATTATGCAAAGAGTGATGATTAAAATACATTAAAAAAAAAGTGAGTGCATGACCTATATATATATAAAAGTTTCCTGTGGACCCTTAAAAGACATTCATGATTATATTAATCCACAAATGGTTGTTGACGCTGAAATGCGAAGGATCTTTTAAATGGAATGATCGAAGTGAGTACTTCACAATTCACATTAAATTAAGTTTTAATAGCTGAATTTGGATGTGATATCATTTGCAGTCGATACGTTGAAAGTTGCAAGAAGATTGAAATTAATATTTAAATTTTCCTTTATTTTTTGTATATTGACTAACATGTAAGGAAATAAAATTTAAATTAAATCATAATTCGAGACTTTCTAATTTAATGAAAATTAATGAGAGTTGTCATTAAATCGTGTTGTTAAAGAGGGGAGTTTTAAGATTGCATTGCATGAATGATACACAGAATGGAAATCACTGTATTAAAAATAAACAAATTTTCAATTAATGAAAGAAAGTCTCAGAAATTAATGGAAAGCTAAGACAAAATCACAAACTTGAAGTACAACTCATCTATTTAACTGAAATAAATATAAGTTACTTGATTGAAATATAATCACAATTTTTGTACACTATTTTTTTTTTCAAACAGACATAGTTGTGAAATGTGACTTTTACTCTAAAAATGTTAAATAAGTATTTTTACTAGATATATATATTTTTAATTATTTTTCTTAATACATCATATATTTTAATATATTTATATTTTTTTTTATATATTTTTTTCTTTCTTTGAATAGATATTTACAAAACATTTATGAGTGAAATATATATTCCTATTTTATAAAATTATTTTTTAAAGAAAAAATAATCAATAAAAAAAGTTATGATGCTACATAGTCATTCAAAATTATAAATAAACTCCCCTAAACGTAATTAAAAAATCCAATTAATAAAGAGTGTATGTAATAATGAAAACTTCATATTTGACATTCTTTATTGGCCATAAACAAAGCATATTGAAACTTATATATTGAAAAATCATTAAAAAAATTTAAACTATGATGAATGAAAGTTGAAAAGATTTTTTTCTCATTCTCACAAGATCTAGAATGGGTCAAACGAAATCTTTTAATGGACATAAAGAAACTAATCCTGTTTTTACTGGTACAATTATCATCAAATATGCACACTTTTGAAAGAAACTTTTAATTTTATTTATCTATTTTTAATTAATCACCTATCTCTATATTTAAATTTTAAATAGTATATCATATGTATAAAAAAAATATTTTAATATAAATGAATATATTAATTACATATTTATTAAAGTAGATAAATAAAATAATACAATTTAACAATGTAATATATTGACCCAGGTAATATGGAAAGTAAATCAAATTCAAAATCAATTTATTTTGAATGAGTCAAATAACTCAATGCAATCTCATGACCGGCAAAAGAAAAACATCCGATTTTCAACCGACCATCATATGACTCGCAAGAAACAAGATGCACACATTTGAAAAGAGAGATGATCTCACTCTTTCTTTACACTCTTTTCAACTGCACTTTTTTTTTTTATTATATTAGTCATCATCACACAATTAAATAACCTTTTTTTTTCTTTTCATTTTTTTCAAGTATAAACAATCATTAGAATTTATTATCACCATTTACACTGCACAAAAAAAAAATTCTCTTTAATCCACTACAGTACCGAAAAGTGAAAAACAAATTAACAATCAGTTTTAAACATTCCACTTCTCTCTTAAAAAAATTTAACTTTTTTACACATCTAATTAACACTCATCCCACTTTTCCTTAGAACAAAAGAGAATGTGAGAAAAAAATATATAACTTATATATTTACAAAATATTACAATAACCTTGTTGAGGGGAACCGGACCAAATCAAGAGATTTGAGAAACTTAAGATCAAACCTATCTGACTTGGTCGTCCTGTGTGTAGTCACTGTTTTCTGTTCTTCTCTATACACCTCCATTTTCTTCACTTTCTCCTTCAACTCTCTCACTGAATCCCATAACCTCTGCTTCTCCACCACCACCACTCTCTCTTTGCACTTCTCCAATCTATTCATCACGTAAACCAACTCCACCACTTCTCCAAAACATAGACACCCCAACCTCTCCCTAAACTCGTTAACCCTAACAAAAACCTCACTCAACACCGCAACCACATCCTCTTCCACCAAACTCTCTATCTCAGCAACTAACTTGTTCCCTTCTGTGGACACATGGTCGGGTATTTCTCCAATCCCCTCAACCACCGCCAACAAAGCCTCCGTCTCCCGTAGCAACTCACCGTTGGCCAGACCCGAAACTTTCACTTCCGATGATGATTCTGGTGCAGTGTTGAGAAAAAACCCGACAGTTCTAGAGGCCCAAAGAAGCTGTTCCACATGTCTGGCGTACCATCGGACCCAAGCAGAGAGTCCCCACGACACCGGGCTACTCCTATAATTATCACCCCTTATTAAAATCTTATTAACTTAATCTTATAAAACTATCATGCAAGATTTTTAACACATCCATCCATGTTCAAGATTAAACATTTTATATATAAAGTTTTGAAGATTAGATATGTAGGAATGTAATCAATTAATAACGAGATGATGATGTAATAAACTTAACGATACTAGTTAATATAGACGTGATGTTATATTAAAATATATAAATTTGGATTAATTCAATTTTACAAAATATAATTTTGACAGAACCAGTTATGATTATGACATAGTTGAATAGTTTGTCAACCAAAAATCATATAAAAAAGACTTGAAGCTTGTTTGTATATAATATTAGTTTTTTTTTTAAAAAAGTTTCTATTGAAATTAATATAGTATTTTTTTTTATTTTCATATATTTTCAATTTGTATATAGTCTACTATTTATTGAAAATAAATAGTTTTTTTCTTCTTCAAATCCCTTCTAAAATAAACATTCTCTTATACCATATTCAAGTATCAAAATTCAACCCTAGATTTAGATATAATAACATTTTTATAAATAATTATTAAATAAATATGGTTCGAGTATATCAATTTAAGCGTTACCTGTCGCGGAATTTGGAGAGGTTAAGGTGGTTTCTGCCACCGCTGTAGGGAAGCTGGTCGCGCAGGATGAAGCTACCGTGCTTGATGACATGGTGGACGGCGACAAGGCACTTCAGGGCCACGGCGGAGTTCTGCGTCGTCTGGAGGCGGTCCATCAGAAGCTCCATGGCGGCGGCAGCCGTGGAACGTGAACCATCGCCGGAGGCAAGGAGCGTGGAGAGGTCCTTGCGCGTGGGAGGGGTGAAAGAGTCGTGGCCGGTGGCGCGTAGGAGAGAGAGTGTGGCGCGTTTGGAGAGAATCGCAGCTTTACCTTGTGAAGCCTTGTCTTTCATTATCCCTATCACCTCTTTCAGTTTCAGTTTCCTCATAGAAACAAGATAACACTTACACGCTAAGAGACAAGATACCAACTAATGGATCCTTAATTCTTCAAGGACGACAATATATGAGTATTACAGGTTACATATTAATTTTTATACATGTAAATATCATCTTTGAAATTTTAAACATAAACTATTGTTAGTCATGCACCTTATAATTGACCATTAATTGCTTTTTGATGCAGGAAGCTCTTGGTGACTATTGGTGTATTATTATATTACTTCAGCATGACTCCATTCGTTGTTCCTGTGACTGTTGATTAATCAAAAAGCTAACAAGACTTGGTTGGTTGGGTCAGCTTCAAAATTTTCAAACATGATAGACATACTTCTAATAGAATATCCTGAATGGCCACCTGAAAAAAATACTAATCTAATCAATAACATAATCACTGACGATTGTAGAATGAAAACAAAAGCAATACGTTTTGACGAGTATTTTAAAAGTTAGATTAATTTTAAAATAAACATATTGAAAATATTATAATATTGATAAAAATAATGATGTAATTTTATGACTTGAAAATAAATACCGATTCATTTCTATAATAAATATTATTTTAACTTATTTTACACATGTCAACAAAAATTAATATTTAAAAATATAAGAAAGATAATAGTATTTTTGTAAAACTTTGAGAGACATTTGATACATACAATGATTCTTTTTTATTTTTTTAATGAATTTGAAGTTGATAAAGTTATTTTCACATTTAATTTACTAAAAAATAATTTTTATTCGTTTCCTAAAAATTATTCTCCTGTGATAAGTAAATATGTATCATTTTTAAATAAAGATAATTGATTTTCAAGTAGCATACATAAATATTTTAAAAAACATTTGTAATCAACTAAACACATTTTAATAATTCTTATACGTCATGATTATCAACATGTTAAGTAATTTATGAAGTAAAATTTTGTTGAACATAATTGTTTTTTAGTTTGATATTTTTATATAAATACTCATTAATTATAAGTTAATCATTCAAATATTCTCGTGAATATAGGAAAAAATACCTATTCATATTAGAATTTACGAGCTAGAAGATTTATTACCATCAATCATTTTCTCTTTATTTAACAAATCTTAAATAATAAAAAATACATTGACAAAAATAATGCCACATCATTTTATAAAATAATATTTTTTTTAAGAATATGAAAGATCAACCGAATATATGAATTGTATTTATTTTATAAAATTAAAGCTTAAATTCAATATATTTTTAAAAGTCTGGTTCAATCAATTAATATATTTAAAAGTCTATTTTATAATAACAATGTTAAATATAGGTTAATAAACTTAATTTTAAATAAGTTAACAAGCTTATTTTTAAATACGTGTGTGATTTTTTTTTAATTTACGTGATAAAAAATAGTTTTGATCTATTATTATTATTATTATTATTATTAAAATTTAGAATTTAAAATAAAAAAATTAATATAAGAGAGTGACAATTTATGTACACTAACACACATATAGATATAATGAAAGAAGATAACTTCTTTAACAAAAAGAACTTTATAAATATTTTCTATATTTCATTTAAAATATTTTAATAAATAAAAAATCATGAAAATAAAGAAAATGAGTAGACGAATATGTAAAGGTTAAATTTTTTATTTTATTTTATTTTTGATTTTGTATGAATAAAAAATGTAAAACATTTAAATAAGAATAGCAAAAATGTCAAAAACAAACAATTTAATTTTTGTATTAAAAATTTATTTATTTAATTGTATTATTAATAATGTAATGCGTATATTTTTTATTATTATATTATATAAATAAATAAATTATGTTATCATGTCTAACATATTTTTTTAATAATTAAGTTAAAGTCTAACATTTTTAAATAAATAAATTTTTTATAAATTAAAATTTACCTTTTTTATTAAATACATCAATATAGTCAAATTTTAAATAAATCAAATCATAAATTTCTTTTTAAAGTCTAACGTATTCTCTTTCAAGATTATGTATCACTAAACATTTTTAATAATGATTTGACCGCTTTAATTTTTATACTCATCTTACATTTTTCCATATCTTTCTTTCAATTTTGTTCCTCTTTCTTCTTTCTCATTGCATATTTTGAAATTCACAAATGAACATTGCAGACTTGTGATGGTTGATGGTTAAAGAAATTTTATAAAAAGAAAGATACATTCTTAATAACTTGATTCAGATATATAAAAAGTAATGAACCAACAGTAATAATACCATTTTTTCTCTCTAGATTACAAACACCCTTAACCCAGAACCTGATGAATTAATACATGGTCATATCCATCACCTTTAATTGATAGTACTATTTAACTCCATACATAACACATAAAAGTGCATTGAAATTTTTCATCAAAATGCACATGAAGACACTCTAGAACTTAAAAAGAAAAACAACTAGCTAGGTAGCAGTTTATTCAGCAGAAAGAAGAGACAAAAACCGAAGAATCTGCGACGGTTTCTCATCTCCCTGGACCCTACATGAACGAATAAGTCGGAGAAATCACGGAGAAGATCCACCACCTGGCACTCCATGCACCATCACATCTTTTGGTCCCACAACAGCTGCGACAGTTTCAGTTTGAGGTTGTTCCGCTTCTGCTACGACCACCTCTGCACCTCTCAGTTGTTGTCGTTCTTCAGTTTCAGGAGTGAGGCTTTGGCAACAAATGGGACACGACAAGCGAAAGGGTAACCATGCATCGATGCAAAGCTGGTGGAAAACGTGTTAACACTTTGGCAGCATCTTCAGGGTGCCGTTGTCTTGAAAGTAGTTCAAGCACACCACACACTCATCATTGTTACCACACATTTGAGGTCCTTCAACCTCGAGTAGATGAAGACTGGACACTTGTCCATGACACGGCGTCTGAGCAGGTAGCCGGCGACGAGTGTGGTGGTGACGTCAGGGTGTCTGTAGTGGAGCCAGTGGCGTAGGTAGATTTCGCCCAAAGTGAAGAAGATGACACCATTGTAGTCATCACAGCCAGTGCAGTTCTCTTCTTAGGGTCGCTGGCAACGGAGGAAGAGGGAAGGGTTGAAGGGTTCACAGGAAGCTTTGCATATGCAAGCCAGATAATGGGCACTAGGACCACCGGGAAACAGCTACTCCACCCTTTGAGGTGCCTCCAACGTAGCGATGAGATTAGTCACTGCTGTATTCCAGGGATAAATAAAAAAAAAAAAAAAACAATTCTAATTTATAAAAAAATTAATATCTTAGATTCTTTTGCCATAAAAGTATATATATTTTATAAAATTATATTATATTATATATATATATATAAATATTAGAGACTATTTTTTTTGTCCTTACTAAAAAAATTTCTTCTGGAGTTGTCAGTGATTGTTTTCGTGTCGAGTAGTCAAATAAATATTATCCCTTATTATCATTTTACATACTCATTCAAAAAGATATAATAAAGAGAGAAAAAAAAGGGGGTGGGGTGGCACTTGTAAATCATGTAACTGTCCAAATTGGAAACAACTCATATAACTGGATGAAGTCAGCAAATTATACTTTGTATCATATAGTGAGGTTAAAGACAAATAAATTTGACTACGTGTATGTGATGTGCTGCTATTGAATCTCCATTGTTTCCTTCATATATGGATTTCTTCTTCTCTTCAATGATTTTATTCTAGCACTTTTTAATTTTGGCTATTTAATTTTTTATTAATTCATTAGAAAACTGTATACAAGTATATAACAAATAAAACTATTATCAAATTCGGACGATTATTTTAAGATTATTATAAGGTGTTGATTTGTGCACTTTTAAGTATTTAACCCATGTTATACATGCATTTACCTAGAGATTTACGTATATTTTTTTATTCAAAATATTTATAAAATTATATGAGATTTGGTTAAAAAATTTAAAACTATATATATCATATTAAAATTTAAATAATTTATAATTTTTAAACGTCAAATATAAAATACTCAATTATTTTAATTTTTTATTCATTTTATAAGATTTAAGTTTTGTAAATAATATTTTGAATAATTTTAAATATAAATATTAATTAAATTAGGTACACACTGTATATTGAAATTTAGTACTACTTAACATATATTAATTGTCATTTTAATTGACAATTTATATTTCATCAATACTTTCGTAAGATGAACTATTATAGGTGTTTATTAGTATTAAGTTTTTTTTATGCATCTGTGTCTTTTTAACATAATTCTATAGTATTAGCTAATCATATATAGAAATATATTAGTGATGATAAATATTTAAAATCATCATATTTTTTTCTGAATATTTCAATCAGTTCTGTTAATTAATTATAAAGTAGCTTCATGTTAAAAGTACCAATTCTAATATTTAATATAACTTTCCATTTTATAAACTAATAATGTTAATAAGTATGGAAAGGAAAATATGTATAATAAGAGGGCTATAACTAAATATAAAAATATGCATAAGATGAAGGGCATAAAAGGAAATGTATTGTATATTGAATAGTAAAAATTTTCTAAATTTTGTATGTAGTGCATACGAGAATGTAGAATTGACACTTGAACGTAAGTCAACTTAAAAAAAATAAAAAATACCGATCATCGGAATATATCGTGTCACTTTCTTATGGTGCCGCTACGAAGACCTACTCAACCCAACTCATACGTTACCCTTCTTAACATGTAACCAAACGCCTCCAAATATAATAAACGACTACGTTTTTATTTTCTTCTTCTAAATTTAGTTTTGTTTTTAAGTTCTTCAACAATTTTTTTTTTTATCTTTAGTCTTTCAAGTTTTTCTTAAAGAACAAAAATTTGATATTAAGGTACCAAAATATTAATAATAAAAAAAGTTAAAAGACTAAAATAAAATTAACAAAAGTTTAGGACTAAAATTAATAAAATAGAAAAGATCAAAAATTAAAAGCAAAATTATAAAAAATTTAACGACTAAAAGCACATTTAAACCTATAAAATAAAATAGTATATCTTATATATTATCACTTCTTATATACATATATATATGAGAATGATTCACTTATTTAAAAAGTAAGTCTATAAATTTAATATATTTAATAATTTATATTTTATATCAAATTTTAATAATTTAATTATTAATTTAAAAATTATTGATCTATAAATTAAATTTATAAATTTTTATAAATTTTAAAAACTTTGATATTTAATTTAATCGATGAATAATTATTTAAGTTATTTTATACATTAATTTGAATTTATATAACGAATTATCAAATAATTTTTAAAGTTTAACAATTTAATCTATACATTTTTTAATTTAGTAATTAAATAATTAAAATTTAATATAAAATATGAATTATTAAATAAAATAAAATAAATTAAACTTAGAATAAGTTAAACATGAGATATTAAACATGTCCGGTCTCATCACTCTTTGTGTATATATAATCATGTCATCTATGTATCAACACACATAAATTGAGTGGCTCCTTCCATTTGTAGAAGAAGGTGGAATCGATAGGAGATAGATGGATGTGTTTGAGTATCTGTTTGTGGTGATGGTAGTGGGAGCTCTATGCCATTCGAGCGTTGATGCACAAGGAGTCCCTCCCTTTGGCGTGCAAGCCATACGTGAAAACTGGAAAGTGACATTGATCGTCACCTTCTCCTTTTTGTTGGTTGCCTTTATCTTCTTCCTCGTGTTTCGCTTTCAATCGCCTCGTTCAAGCCACGAGTGCAAAAACGAGGACACACCCAACAACAAGGTGATTGAAAACTGCCCCATCTTCGTCTACGCCACGGCGAAGGAGCTCAAATTAGGAAATGAGGCGATGGAGTGCACGGTGTGCTTGAGCGAGTTTGAAGACAAGGACACCATAAAGATGCTTCCAAAGTGTGCACATGTTTTCCATCAGCAATGCATTGATAACTGGCTACCCTCTCACATGACCTGCCCCATTTGTCGCCACAACCTCACTTCCGACACCATTCATACCCCATTCAACACCAATTAGGTATTCCATCTGTTGCATCATAACATGTCTTGTAAATATTAATAATAATATGATTAGTTTATGTTCAATTATATCAAATAATTTCGGACCATGTTTATTAAAGGATATAGAGTTTATTGGAGTTCATAATTATTTGGAAGGATATGGAGTTTGAAGAATGGATAGTCCATCGGAGTTCTCAAGATGACTGGTTCTACTGCTATATATTAATATTTATTTTATAAATAAATTTTAAAAAGATTGACTTAGGTTAATAAATTTTATAAGATTAAACTAGGTTGGATTGTGAATTTTAATGAGGCGGTGGTTCTTGTCCTCCTCTGCCTAGTGATGTTGTTTGTTCATGAATTCACTTAGAATGCCGTCATGAAAGGTCGAGGGAACTCAGCCGCATATTCGTTCGACTTGATTGGCGATTTTGTCTTTTCTCTCTGCACTATAAATTGCTATGTACAAAGCTAGTTTATTTTCAATCAAAAATGTATTGTGACCAGTTTTTGAAGTGTTTAATTGTACCCAAAAGAGAGAAAGAGAGATATGAAAGAAATAAATATAATTAATGATCTATTATATGTGACGGAAAAAAATGACGACAATTAAGTATTTGAATGAAAGATGTCAAAAAATTTTAAAAAATATAATTTAACAAGTTATCTTTCAAAATTGGCTCAACTTACTTAATCAGGTCAAATCAAACTAATTAACTTTAAATATAAAATTTTTTTTGGGCCAATTCGGGATAGTATGATAGGTTAAATTGGACAATTAAAAATTAGGTTTACAAAGTATATGTCCTCTTTGACTTAATTATTTATTTATTTTTTTAAAATTACATGTAAAATTATTATGAAAAGGAAATTAAATTGACAATTTAGCATGAGTTGATGGGTTAATGGACTAAAGAAAGTAAAACTTGTGTAAAAGTCAAATTACGTCGATTAGTCCATTATTTACGTTTTACATATTGGATTAGGGTGACCTATTTAATTGTTCTAATCATAATTTATTGCAAACAAGATTATAAAAGAAACAATTGAATATGATACGAAACCTATCAAATCTTATGATTTTTGATAATTTTATCTAATAGGTGAGATTGTATTTAAAAGAGTGTATGTTCCCTATGTTATATATACATACTTCATATTGGTTATTAATTTTCATATCAATAACTAATATTCACTTTATCTTCTAAATTAAAGTTATGTTGGGTTCAACTTATTTTAAACTTTAAAGTTACTTTAAAATTTAATATAACAATAAAAGCTTAATTTTATATGTAAAATAAATTAATATATGTGATGATTGTTTAATTAAAAGCCCATGAAGTACATAAATATAAAAACATGTCAAAATTAAAATTATGGTAATTTTGTCCTTAAATTAGTGTGCATATATGATATGTCATCATCATTATTTTTAAGCTTTTAAATTAACATGCCTGTATATGATGGGTTTGATGACTGTCATCACCATTAAATTAATTAATAAAAATCATGAAAAAATATATTTATTTTAAAAATGAAAGACTAAAAATAAAGACAAAAACCTAAAAAACGAACTTTTATGTACTTACAAAGATTAAAAAATATGTTTAACCTTTAAAGTTATTCATTATAGAACTGGACAGGACCATCCTGGTGCATCTGTTTGGCAACGGGAAAAGGAATGAGGTTGGGGGCCCAATTTGTGTGATTACACTAAGCCATGTTTCAAGTTGAGCTCACAGTGCCAAATCCAAATGGTTCATAAAATATACATCTCCCTTTTTTCTATAAGTACACCTCCTTTTAAAAAAAATAATTAAAATTTTAAAATATTTTTAATTTTACATTCACAACATTTAATTTAGTACTTTTTTTCACATATCTTTCCATATTTTTTCAATTTTTATATACATTTCCTTATTTTTCCTTCACCCTACCTATTTTGGTAGCATGTAAAAATTGAAAGAAAAAAAAAGTGCGTGAATAAGAAGAAGAAAGTAACAAATTAAAAGTTGAAACTTGAAAGTGTAAAATTAAATTTATTTAAAAAATTATAATATTTTATAACTTTTTTTAAAAGAAGGAGGTGTACTTATAAAAAAAAAAAAGGAAGTATATATATCATGAGCCAATCCAAATAGACCAAGTATCAGGCCCCATTGGACCGAGGCCTAATCTAACACCTCAAACCACAACAAAAACTAAACGGCAAATATATATTCCTTTCTAATAGACATGCCTCTCTTCTTGATTTTTTTTTTATAAATTTTTTAAATACTATTTTATTTTTTTTAAATAAATTTTATTTTCTCCATACTCCTTTCTTTCTCTACTTTTTTTTCCTTATCACTCTTTATATGTCTCTACTTTTATTTATTTTTATTTTTTTTCTTCAACAACACTCATCTTGTTCATTTATATTATTTTTAAATCTTATAGTTTTTGCACTTTTTTTTTAATCCTAATTTTTTTAATTTATCTTCAATATTGGATATAAGATTGTGAATTGTATGAATATATCATTTCCAAATGTATGACCCGTTAATTTTATAATAATTATTCATCACAAAGTAAAAAAAAAAAATATTTTTTAACAACAAAAATGATATATTTTTTATTATTACAATTATGAAATTGTAATTTTTAATTCTTAAATATTCTTTTGATAAGTACTTTTTAGAAAAGAAAAAAAATAGTATTCTAAAAAGTACTTTCCAAAAATAGTATTCTAAAATACATTTTCAGAAATATTTTAAAAATAGTGTTTAAGAAATAAATAAATAAAAACAGACATAAAAACTGTATTATTAATTGATGGAGGTGTATTTAACGAAAGTGAAACTGAACCAATGGGCCAAAGCTTAAACCTAGGCCTGCATCTAGTGGGCATGGGTGAATCTGAATGATGAATATGATGAGGGTCATGAATTTGGAAGGAATGATGATAAGTTTGACAAGTGAATAACAACATTAAAGTGTGGATTAATATTGAGTACAGCTCGCAAAGACGAAAGAAGAAAGAAGGGAATTGAAGAGTGAGATGAAAGAGCACTAGAGTCTAGAGTATCTATCTATTGAGACATTTCTTATCACTCACACTTTTAGTTTTGTCTAATCTTCTAGCCTGTACTGTCTCGTGTCGCTTATGATTGAGACTCCATGCATCACTGTAATTGTCTCATAACAACTCTAACGTAAAGAAAAAGATATTTGTCCCAAGTTTCCAGCTACAAACAACACAAAGTGAACCAAGAGCTGAGTCGGCACACCTTGTTTTGTCTCGTACACGTGCTAAATACACCATCAAATGTTCAAATCTCGACTCACCCTCTCGACTAATCTGCATAACCTTCCAAAATTTGGTGCCTATTACACAAGCAAAAACCACACAACACGCAAGACCCACACAAGTTTATCATAATTGCAAAAGGATACCAATTTCACTTCTCTTTCTCTCTCTCTCTCTCTGCCTCTCTACACACATATAGCAATTTCAATTATCTCTATAGTTAATTCATATGGATTCTTTTATTTATTTGTAATCACCTTCTTATAAGTTACAAAAATCTACCACACTAATCTTTACTCTAAAATCTAATTAATTACTTTTAATGGAGTATCACTCCCAAACTCTTTTTTCCTCTGCAAGTTTGCTACATATGAATTTGTTTGATTAGGAGGAAACAACACTTGGTGTTAAAATAAAACCAAAGTTTTCTTAAGAATCATGGTAGGAGCTCAATTTTATGTCATGTGTATGAATTTTTTTTTTGACACCAATAGGAAAATGTTTTATTTAAAAGAATAAAATTTACTTATTGAAAGGAAGTAATATTTAGCCATTGGATGGGAATACTTAAAGAAAGAAAGAAATTCGAGTTAAACAATATATGTTTAGGGGTTTAATAGCCCAATATTTTACTTCACAAAATTAAATCTTCCATGAGTATACACACATGAAAGTGGTGTATTTATTTCAAAAATGCCTTTCAATTAATTATACATTGATTAAGGAACCTTTTTTTTTAGAATTCAAATTTAGTTATAACCAAATCAAAAATGTTTAACGAGTCATATATTGATACCAATGATAGTTGACACAAATGACAATGACATAGATAATTGTAACTTATATTCTTTAATTTAATTAAGTTGTTCAAAACTTGATTTTATATATAGAATAAAGAATGTGGAGAAAAGAATATTTACATAGTTTGTTTATTGCCTCCAACAGAGATTAGTCATTGACTACTGATCACACATGCTATACGTAAAATATTTTTAATGAGATGTTTCAACGAAAATTTATTAATATAAATATTGTTTAGGTTTTTTTTTTTTTTTTTTTGTGTGTTAAGAAGTAATTAACGAAATTCCTTTTAGTTGTTAAGTTAATATTAAAACAGCAATTTAGATAAGGTGTTCCGTGATAAATGAATAAATAAGAATTGAAACATCAGCATTTAAAATTTAAAATTCTAAAAATTACTTACTTATTTCTTATTCAAATTAATAGGGCAACAGAAATTACTTTGATCTCTTAAAAAAAGAATGTGTGAATTTGTTTGCTACATCAGGTATTAAATATATTATAGCTTTCAGCACGTGTCGATATTTTGGACATTGAATTAATAACTATTAACTATATATATATATTTTTTAATAATTGAGAGGTATAATTAACTCTTCTCGATCAATTTATTATATTTAAAGAGTAAGGTAATATGTTCTATTATAACTTCATATTGAAACTCAAAATTGGAATCCTATTTTTATTAAAGAACATAAATATTAACCAATTATTACAACAACTTTTATATTAAACTAGCAGAAAAAAAAAACTCTATACCTCCATAAAAAAATGTGTTTTCCTAAAAAAAAGTGGATGATAATTTTTTTCCATACATTTTTTTCTATTTCATTTTTAAAAGATATATTGGTGAAAGTACTACAAGAAATATTATATATAGTAACATACAAAAAATGTCACTATAAATATAATATATGTAAATATAAATAATAAGTTTATTTGACATATTTATATAATTTTGGTGTTGATTTTAAATGCAATTCAACAACATATGTTATATGTAACGACCCGCCATGGTCT